GTGAATAATAATAATAATAATAATAATAATATTCTGCTTTTATATAGCGCTTAATACATTGTCTCTAAGCGCTTTACAGATATACTATTACCCCGGTCATTGGATTCTGTGCTTGCCCGCACACAATGTGTGCACAATCTCCTCTCCCTGGGGAGCATTCCAGCCAGGCGTACTTGACGCTCAAAAACTGTTTGACCAACAATGACGGTCGCATCCTACCGGGTACCCATTTAATAACTGGGTGGAGAGTAGCAAGTGCAGGTTAATATCTTGCCAAATGATATTAGCACCTTCGCATCTCCAGTTAAGTGCCTTAAACCACTCTGCCACAACAGTCCCATAAGTAAAGTAAAATTTGATTAGATTTCTTTAGATTAATAGTACTTAGCAATCATTCAATCTATTGACTTCGCTTTCATAGGTCGATAGCAAATAAACCAATATTTGAGATCCCATCATGACTTTAAATTTGGAGTTGTCTCTGAATTGCTCTCTAAACTGGGAAGAAATCAGTTTTAATGCCTTTCAACCTGGGTAAGAGCCGTAGAGGAAGTTCAAATCCAGAAGTTATGTATTCAGATAAAAAGGGAAGGTAGAGGAAATGTCAATTATTCATTTCTTGAAGCATTTCATTTGGAATGTAGGCATCACATATAAATCAGTTGTATTCATGTGAGTAGAAGTCTAGGTAAAGGTAATGTGAAAGCGTTAAAATGAAATCAACTATAAATTATTTTTTTTTAAATCTCCTTTGAAGATTTGATTTTGACTTCTTGTCTTATAAAGACTTAATATTTTGTTTTAAATGAGACACAAAAGCAGAATGAATAGAAATGCATGTCCATACTGAGTGTGCTGAGAATTCATTGTGCAATTGCTTTGGATGATTGCAATGTGTAGGTATAAGATGCAATATATAATTAATGATAATTAAAAAAAACAAAAAATGTTTAATTCAACTCAAACCGCTTATATATCATTTACTTCTTTCCATATTTTAACCAAAATTTACAGATTTTATACCTTATTATATATACAACCAGCTTGTTGTTTTAAGCTTAGTTGGACTGCATTTTGTTTTATTAATTCAATAAAGTTTATCTCAAAACCCAGAAGTATTAATGATAAAGTGTAATTGTCTTATCACAGCTAGGCTATGGAAGGTATAGGAAGAAGTAATCAATATTTTCCTGTGTGAGTAAGCAAGCATTTTGTGTTTATGAAAGGTCATGGCGATTAAATGTATTTCCAACTTCTTAAAAAAAGGAAATGGCAAATCTTTTCACAAAGATTTTTTACATCGCTGTCCAATCATGTTGGTAGATCATGATTTTTTTTTTGCCGATTATATGGTAGACAGGCAACTTGAGACTCATGAAGTTTCATCCAGTTTTCTGTTACTAATCTTTGCAGTGGGTTGTCATCAAATATTTTTTCCTGAGTGTCGCCTTTATAGTTTCGATCTGCATCAAGTGGGATCATTTCTAACTTTGAGCACGGCCATGTAAGGAAAGGAAACAGCATATGTGAAGGGACCCGATCTCTTCAGAGAGAATTTACAAGAGCAGAAGCAAAGCAAGGATTATCTCATTATGGAGATTGGAGTAGGGGTTAACCACAAACTTCCATTTTTCGTAACATTCATCATTGCGTGTGGATGCAGAGTCGTAGAACTCTAACGGTATATTTGGTCACTGCTCATCGCATCAAAAGAGCCATGTCATTCCAAATTCAATGTTTCTGCTAAAGACTGCAATCCCATACAATGTACACAAGGTGTGAATTAAACAAGTTATGAAGTTCAATCTCGGTCAAGTTGCAAACAGGAATGTGAGTTGGTGATGATAAAGATTGATATTTTCATGAGCATCATTATCATCACTTTTACAGTGAAAGAGATGCAATAAAGCAATTAGCATTTTCAAAATAGAAAATTAAAAGTGTGCAGGGCAAAATAATTAAGGTTTTGAGAGCAACTTGTAGCCAAAGTAGAGCTGTCGATCTTATACAGTGACAACCCATTGATAGAAACAGTTTTAACAACACACTCTTTTCGTCCACAAGGGCCCGTTATTATACATATATTTTTGTTATTCTGGGGGGGGGGGGGTGCCCAACTGCCCTTAGCCTCTGTCTATTTTATTCATAGTGACAAATTTAAAGAAATGGTGACCTTTTTTGTAATTAGTGTAATTGTAGTTATGTTTATTACACTTCTTACATATTTCATTCACATACTTCAAGCCTCTGGAATGTTTGTTATGCCTAATTTGCCTGATTACCTCATTGTGTAAGAGGTCGAGGAGCGAATGGGGATGCGCTAGATTATTCTCTCTCCTCCCTGGAATCTATCTGAGCCAGATATTAATAGACAAGCTCTGTAATTTACACTAGATGTTAATCCCTCGTAAGACCCTGCATAATTCACCATTTCTTGTTTGGCTCTGTTTTAGTGAAATCTGCAAATCATTGTTGAGAGTTGAATAGTTTCATATTTGGAGCAAGCAAAAATTGGGGTTTGTTTGGCTTATTTGGCAGTGAAAAGTACAAAATAAAAATATTTGTTGTCTCTTATTTTCTTTATTTATAAATATTTCAATGAAAATTGTCCAATCATTAAAAAGGAGTTTAGCACGTTTTTATGCTCATTGTCATTAGTATTAATAGCATCATTATTATATGTTTACCCCAATATCCATAATATTTAATCATTGACTTTAAAAGGAATCTAGTCTAACAGACTTTTGTGATCTTCATATTGATATTACTTTTTTTTTATATTTCTACCTGTGATTGATTTTACAGATAATTTTGAAAGATAGAATCTTAGTACAGTCTCATTTGAAGTTGATCACTCTAAAGCTGTTAAATATTGATGTCTGTCTGAAAAGTATGTTTTTGTTAGTATCTCTGTCCCAAAAATATTATAGCTTTGGACAGTTACTGTAGAGCCGAAGGTATTACCGGTATCTCAAATTGGGTAATTGCATTGTATTTAACAAGTAACAGTCAACTACTTATCTAGTACACAATACAGGATGTCGTTCAATTTGAGAGCGAAACCCAAACCAGACGTTCATTTGCAGTCTGAATTCCTTTACGCCACGGGTCTCTCTAGCTGTTCACAGCAGCTCCTACTATAGAGAGGGGAAAGACGAATCACATCTGCATGTAGGCCATCTTTGTTCACCTGAATGGGACCAATTTGCCACCACTAAAATTGTTCTTCAATTTTAAAAAACAATTTGATTTGCTTTGCAATTTATACATTACGGAAGACCTGCCAACCCATGCCAGCAGAGTTCGTAGCCCCTTAGTGACACGATATGTACTCATTCGTCTCCTCTCATAAATGCGAGAACTGATAAGTATCTGATCGCTTCTATATGGATTTCACGTCATAACTCGGAATACTCATAACCAGGAAATGAGTTGTATAGACACTTGACTTTATATCGTTACATTTGTTGAGGTAGCGCGAGTCCCGGTGTGCTAAAAATAATTATTTAAGCGGTGGATGTTTTGGATGAAAATTACGGACCTGTTGAGAGGGAGATTTGCAGGGTTCACACGCTTGACTCTCTGAGGAACAGCGGGAAATATCAGCTCGAAAGTTTCTGAACGTGATATTTGTAGTGAAACATCCAGACCAGTGCTTCATTCAGATATTTTATTATACAGATATGTCTTCTGTTTCTCTATCTGTAAACCAGTTCAGCAAACTTTTGAAGGCCATCAATTTGTTGAAGAACATGGATTGTTGTGTGCTGTATTGGTCTTGGTTGTACCCGTCTTCTTGAAGCAGGATATACTGATCCAGGAGTTCCACTATGTGTGTCACTCTTGTTTCTTATATATGTAGCCTTCATTGCCAAGGACAGGAAGCTTGCAGACCAATTATATCAGCTCAAAAGTGTTTCTTGTAAAAGTTCAGTCAATGTAAACTTTAATAGTTTGAAGTTTCTAGCTTGTGATGAATAACACCGATCTGAGCAGGCCTGGTTGGCAGTAACCATGAAAGGCTGGCTATAAATAGGTTCCACTTGGATGACGTTTGATGACTTTTTCTTTGCACAGTTTGGAAAGTGTGCAAACCCTCTCAGATTTGGAAACTGAGTTTAGAAACTTGACATGGATTATGAAGGAGGCGTGATTGGAAACCACAACCAACGTCAGAGCCCATTTTTCCCTGGGAGTCCTCATTATATCAATTATCATCTAATGTGCGATGATTGAGTAATTTGCGGATGTGGGATATTTGTCTAATCCCAACAAAATGTCAAAAGGTGATTCCTCAAATTCGTTCTTGCACAGATTTTAAAAGAAGGTTCCTTTCTTTTTTAATGGAATTATCTCATTAGAACTGGATCACTAAACATCAAGATCTTCTCCGACAAGAAATGACATTTGACCTCTACTATCATGGATTACAGAAGTTCATAAGTTATGTATATATTCAGTGTCTTCTGCTGGAAAACTTATTGTGCTCTTCTGAAATGCCAGTTTAAAACTAAATATCTGATTGGAAATTGATCATATCTAGAGCAAGCACTTGATAGGGATTAGGATATCTCTATTTAGAGTTTGGTCATCATCACGGCGGATCTGTGTGTAGCAGATTACCTTTTGAAGAGAAATTGAATCATATGCTATAAAAGTAGATTCTGAGTTTTAATTATGAATGCACTCTTATTCAAAAGAAATGCCAGCTTGAAACTGACTATCAAGTATCCTGTTGTACCATTGATACAAAAATTGGATACTAATTGAACCAGTCAGTTTAGGATTAGTTACATCTTTGTTGCCACCATGGATCGAGGAAGGACGTGATATATGTCTTGGATCATCTTTTTAAGAATAATTGAATCCATACTGCAAAATATATTACAGAAGAAATGTCTTAAAACTGATAAGATATTCAGTCAAACAACTATACCAAACTTGATTTGACCAGTCTGTTGAGGATTAATTTGACTTAGTATGATGGATTTCTCTCGGAGGGAGGTGATGTATATCTCAGATCGGTATAGCCCAGCCAGCTATCCGAAGGCTGCCCTCACCACAATGGACATGAAACTAATGAGATGGTACATCTCACTCATCAGAAAGGACTTTGAATCTCAACGAAGATTCACAGATATTCTACCCAAAACTCTCAAATACTTGGAATATCTCAATGGTAAGTCACCATTTTACTTCTAAGAATGTAGGTCTATGCTTTTCCACACTATTACTTCTATATGTAAAGTCTATAACGATGCATCTTACTGAAGAAAGTGCAAGAAAACATTGTACATTATTAACCATACAAGGCATTTTAGCTGCTAAATAAAAAGTCGTATTTTGCACGCTGCCCCGAATATGAAACCAGAGCAGGCAATATTTGCCATATTGCCCTCTTCCGGGTTATATTCCCCGTATACCACTGTACTAAATCAGAGGGCAATATCCTGCCATATTCCACTCCTTTTTGACAGTGCGCTTTTATCAAAGTGCATACGCGCAGTATTGAGTAGGCGTTAAAGTGTACGCGCGGTAACAATCATTGTTACATCACAATTACATAGCTATCTGAATAATCTGAAATCAGATGACTGGCAAACAGACGTGAATAAAAATCATGCTTGATACCAAAGTTGTATTTCATTTGTTAACAAAATGCCTTGTATAGATAATAATAATTATATTGACATGGCTTCTTTTGGGGTATATTATAAATATTTACCGCGCTAAGACCATATTACCTATATTTACGATATACCCCTCAAGCCCAGTCAGTATAATATAAATATCCATGTAACACTAGTCTACCATTTGGAGCCCTCTTTTTTTTAGTCAAGACCCTTTTAATCCCAGATTTTATACAATGCTAATAATCGTATGTGATACATATTTTCATCATTCTGATATCAGTGAGAACATACTTCAGGCCCCTGTCATGGTAACTTAGCATACATCTTGTTCATTCAATATGGGATATTCAAAAATGAGAATGCTGCCCTCTACAGGTTGTATGTGTACACCCCGCAGTGCTTCCCTCCTGCGAGTAATAGCTGTTGGTAATAAAAATCTAACAAACTGCATTCCATGATTTCATTTGAACTTGGGATTTCCTATCAATCAATGGCAGATTCATGAAGCATTTTGCTTGAATGGGTTGATGGAGAGGAAGCATTAAAACTGTAGTGTGCGTGATATTGGACTCCTTGCAGGGGAAATCTAATATACATTTGTAGAGGTGTTGTGGTCTGATAAATAAGTCATGTGACTGTAGATCCCAAGGTGCACAGGGGGGGGGGGGTAATCCCGACCTGCCTCTAACGTCTTTTGGCAAGACGTTAATCTACATTTGACGCTCTCCATCCAGGTGTTAGATGGGTACCCGGTAGGATTCAAATTTTAATGTAATTAGGCAGTACAGTTACGTAACAAAATGCGTTGACCGATCTCGCCACACACAGCGCCTTATGCACAACAAGTAAAACAATACAAGTTTAAGAAATACCACCATTTTCGTTCTGAACATCGTACATCCCTGATTTTTGGATATGTTTTCTAATGATATCTCTTTGTACTAGCTTGTAAATGACAGCTTCTAAAACCGCCCGGTTTTGTTGAAAATGTGAAAAATTCAGCACTCCGCAAAAGTCCAACTGATCAACTTTGCTTCCCACACACACTGACACAGACCATAACATTTGTTCAAAAACTTTGGGATTGTGATTTCTAAATTGCGATTTTTATACTTAATTTTCGTAATATTCAGCCAAGATTAAAATGTATTCTTTTTCAATATTTAATTATAATATACCGAAAGAATCAGCTCTGTAGATTATCCCGTTTTTACGTTAGAGCAATAGTTTGAACCTCCATCATTTACATTTATGTGACAGTCAGCCATTTCGAAAAATGCGGCACGGTAAAGTGTTCAATTATTCTGGGAATCCCAGATTCGGATTTGGGTTACGGGGTGTTTAGGAAAGGATGCGGAGGCTCCTGATTGGTCAAATATATATCCAAGCTCATTTACATAAAATATAGATCTTCGGAAAACTTCGGAGTTTGTTGCATCAAAATCCATCAATGGGTTTAGATTCTGGAGCCATGTGAAGTTTTTACCGCCAATTTTTCACCTGAAGATTTCGTCCGATTAAAATGCAACATCGTATATAGGTCAGTTATTTCATCATTTATAACAATCAAAAGTAAAATCCCGAAATATATTTATAACAACGCCCGAATTTTAATAATAGTTTTGGGTGTCTGGATTGCCATTTTGCCCCAGCAAGACTCGTAATTTGTATTCGTGCGTATAAGCGAAAGTCCGCCTGAAACGGTCACATGTTCGTCTCCTGCTCGTCTCATGCGCATGCGCACAAGACGATGCACAGACGATGCACAAGTGCTCGCTGCTTCGTACTGCAATGATATGAAAAATATGTCCGTAAAATCGATAATATGACATTATGCGGTCGTGTCGATAAAATATGAAGCCTATTTCGAACGTTCCACATATGATTCTACGGATTATATAATGTTTTACGCAACTTTCTTCTTTTTTTATTCTTTAAAGCCGATATTTCTCCGTGATACCCACGTCCCGATGTGTAACAAAAGTCAGTCCCATACGTAGCATTTGATGCTGCAATTGACTGCAGATATGCCGAATTTATTGCGGTATAGTCTTTTGCCAAGTTTCGGTACAGTTTAAATTATAGTTACGTAGGAATATTTATAGGAATATCTATTCAATGTTTCGGTTATTTTTAGTTTTTGATATCCATATATAAATGTTAAAGATAAAATGTATAAAGGGTGTAAAAAATAGTTGTTGGATGTTAGGTAGAATATGAAACGCGACGTATGCGTATATCTCAATGACTTGTTCAAAGACTAGACTAGTTCAAACTTAGTTTGGGTGATGGTATCGGATTTAAAAAAAGTTACTTATTAATTATCTTTACTTTTCCATAATCCATGACTAGGTAGGTCAGGGGAAATCAAGATCATACCCATCTTTTGGTCAGGGTGTGTGTGTGTTGCAAAGGGGTGGGGGGGGGGGGGGTTATAATTAATCTAGAACATTTTTTTCGGGGAAAGTAATTTTTTAACAATAACAATATATTTTCTCCAAAAAAAATGTTCTATTAAATTATTTAAATGAACATTTATGTTTGATTTCTTTTTCGGTTCCTAATCCTATACCTTGCAGTAAATTATACACAAGGGTGCTGAGAGCTTATGGGGCTTCCCCCCTAGGCCTAGATCTACCCCTTTTTTTTTTTTTTGAATCTCAGAGGAAAAGTGTTAACCTTTTTTTTGGGGTGGTGTTGTTTTCAGTACTTATTATTTCTTTTACACTTGCCTGTAGGTTGTGTTTAATTACTAATTATTTTATTTTTTAATTGTGTACATTACTTACAATTGGATATATTTTTCTACTGAATTATAGTTTTGAAAAAGCAAATTGCCTGATTTGTAATTAACGGCTGGCTGTTTTTTTAAATATCATTTATAAAGCAACTAATTGATTTCATTTCTTTATTAATTATGCTAATAAGGCATAATTAAGTATCATTCTTTTTAGAGATTGTTCTTAACCTTATTGAAATACATTACATACTAGCTCAATAATAATGTGTGTGCTAAATTTCAGGTTAATTGGATGCAGCTTTTTGCTTCATTGTCATTGTTTTTCTTGGTATTAAAATGGCCTCTTTGTTAATTAAAATATGTTAATTAAAAAAAAACTATATTATATACATTTATTTAAGTATCATGAAATTGCCACATCTTGAATGTGTTTATGCTCAGTTATATTTTTCAGGTGAATTGGTTGTAACAGCCAACTTATAATCATATGCTTAGAAAAGGCAATTTTCTTGTTAATATGTAAATTAATATGCTAATTAGGCACAAGGTAATTATCTGAGATATATAAAATTGTTATGGTTAAAATGCTTGTGTGCTTATAAGTAGGTGTGCTAAATTTCAGGTGAATCAGTTGGAGCATTCTAACTTAAATGATGTTTATATATTCTAAAAAGCATTCTAATTTTAATGTTATAATTAATATGCTAATTACGCGACGGATTAATATACAAGAATCGTTAAACCGTTATAGCTTAACTAGTTGTGTGCTAATTAGTTTATGTTGTAAATTTGAAGTCTATCGGACGAGGCATTAAGATTCTAAAGCCATTAATGTCACTAAAGATATCACAATCTTGTTAAAATTTAATCAATTATGCTAATTAGGTAAAAAGTAAACATCAGAGATTATTTTTTTTAATGATTTTTAAAAGCCCATGTGACATTTATTTCAAATTCCAAGTTTCATGTTAATAGCTTAAATGGTTTTGCTCTTATGACACATTATGTATATATTTGACCTAAAACAATGGTGCCATAATTAAAACAAAGGATATAATAAGAAATACACTTAGTATGCGTCTACAAATGGTGTCATTTGCGTGTTTTTAAATGGGCATATCTCGAGAATGAATTGACAGATTTTCAAAATTCAAACAGTTTTTTAATGCTGGTCCCTAGTTCTTTCAAACTACCATGAAAAGAACACACTTAGCTTAACTCTATTTTTTCACCTGAACTGCCTAATGTAATTTGCTCAGCATTGTGAGCATCTGTAAAATAGGGCCTGAATAGAATGCTCCTCAGAGCATCTGATTCAAGCAAGCCTGAATCAGATGACTGTGGTAATGATATATCTGTAAAGGGCTTAGAGACATTGTCAATGTATTAATCGCTCTATAAATGCAGTTATGTTGCATTTGTTTTGCTACTTGAAACTGTAGCAAATCCAGACCACTTGCAATATGCAAAGAAGTTCAATTGACATGAAGGATGCTAGTTTTATGGTATTCTAGATTTATTTACAAATTACATATTTACAAATATTCCATTTCATACCAGACATAACAGGCAGGAAGTCAACAGCCTGTAATATTCAGTAGGGGTGAATTTGTAAGAATTAGGAGCAATAATTTGAGAACATTTTGGCTTCTTGGTGTACTGCCAATCATCTAATCCTGAGAGGATTAGTTAAACAAAATCACAATGCCATTTTATAACATCTTGTTTATTGGTCCCCAACCATAACCCAACCCTGAGGACCTTGCTAAACATGTAGCCTTTTTCATATTCAGACATTAATGCTGTAAGCTCATAGAAGGAGCTAAGATTAATAATGGGGCCCAGCCATGCAAAATCTGTCATTTCTAGAATTTATCTATTCTTTTTGTTTGATATGATAGGAATAGGTCTACCTAGTCTACAAGTCTCTATCCCTAACCAAGCCGATTGCTGAGGAGTACCAAATGCTAATAATAGAACTTGAATAGACATCATGAGATTTTGGGGGGTTTTGCTAGGCCGATATTCATTTAGATATCCCAGACAAGAAACAAAGTTAAATTTAAGTGCTAAGAAGTAGAGTCCTTTGAAAAGATTTATTTGACCTAGCTAGTCTCACCATAGATGTATTTCATTTCATTTTTATTTATATTTAAATTGAATATATATGGATAAAATTATTTTGCACTTTGCTTGTACAACAATTCAGTGTTGCGCAAGATGTATTTCTTTCTATTCCAACAGCTTTACTCTCTATACATTCACCTGAGATGAACTTTAGTTTTGTATTGTTTTAATTATACCATTAGTATACCGGTACACAATGCATTAAATGGGTAATTGAAAGTAGCTTTCACATTGCACCATGCAATTATGATAAGCACCTGCCTATCACTCTGTCTGCTTAGAGCCGGATACGTGCTAACTCATTTTAGTATTGTTAACGGCCAGCCGTCTAGCTCTTAAAGGATAATGTGAACAGGTCAATGAAATCAGCAATCCAGTAGCCATGTTCACACTGGGCTGTTGTAATTTTAAACTTAAAGTTTGTGAAAACCTCAAAGTTATAACCAATGATCGACTAATCATGACAGGATTTCACACGGAACAGAAACAAAGAGTATTCAAAGTTTACTACAAGCCTGGCAAGCAGTCATTTTAAATATAAGCTAGCGTAACTACAAAGTTAATTGCATCCACACGACACATAACTTTGAGTGAGGACCTCCCGCTGCTCATAGTTATCGTGCAAACCTTAAAATCACCTGTGGTTTATACATGTAACTTCAACCAGGGAGATGTCAGTTAAACTCGCATCTCCCTGCTTCAAATAAACATAAAGTTTTGTAACCATGAGTGCTCGTCAGCATGGTCCCTAACTGCCAGATAAGTTCAACGTTTCAACCACGACCTAAACTTTAAGTTAAGCGACTATCATGTGAACCTAGCTCTCTAAGATGTATAGCCCATCAATCAAATTGGCTTTTGAAGGCACCCAAGAGATAGTTAGCCATATCTCTCACAATATGATTTAATGGAGTTTCCATCACAAATAAAAATGTATTTGGTGATTTATCTCACAATTGTATAGCATTGCTTTGGCAAATAAAATGTGTATGTAGGAGTTTAATGTTTATCTCACAATTTTATAGCATTTCCATGGCAACTGAAATGTATATGTGGGAGTTTTCAAGGAATTCATGTATAAGATAAAGGTAACTTGAGATGAGGAACACATTATTAAATGCAAGATGCAAAAGCTAGTTGAAGGAGAACAAGGCATTTTTGGTGAATTAGATAAGTATGTTAGCTAATCAAATAATATGCATTTTACTTGATGAAAAATTTTTGGATTATAATTTTATCAATATGTACATGTATATTGTACAAAATATGTTCATGGTACCTACCATAGGTAATAGCACAATCAACTTACATTATCAAATATACTATATGGTTTTCTGACAGCCAGAAGGGCTTAAACTCTTCATTAAAGGTATATAAATTGAAAATTATATTCTGGCTCCAAATGATATAATATATTAGAAGAAACAAAGATACTTGGTGAGAGTGAGAAACTTTCGGAGGTATATTTTAACCTGTTGACAATAGAATTCTTATATTCCTATAGTCCTCATTCGGGACTATCCATGTCCTGTACGCAATGGGTTAAAGAATATGATATAAAGAACTCTTCTATACTTCTGTCTTTTTTTCCCTCCTTTATAATATGTGTACAATCAATGCTGCATGGTGCGGGTGAAAGAACATCACATCACAAATAGTTTTGTACAACTTCGGTGACAATCATTCCGTCATTTTTCGTGATCCCAATATCTTTTCCATTCATCATATTTAAAAGTTCATCATCAAAAAGACAGGATTTCATTGTCAAAGTTACACAGATCAGTGGTTTCAGTACTAGCTGGCAGTCATAAATCTTCCAGGGGGATTTAATAAAAGGTCTCCCAAATGGAATTAAAGAGGACCTGTAACTTACATTGTGAATTTCGTTAGTGATTCAGATTCACAATAAAATTTTGTCCAGGAAATTGCCATCATTTTCAATTCCTGAAAGTTTTGTGTTGTGAAGGTTTCAGATTATATTAAAACTGTCAGAAACAAAGCTTTTGTATAAATGGGATCTTACCATGTTGAAAACACTCTAAAAAAAGATAGCCATGATTAGTGTAATACCTACATGTACTTCTGTTTGTGCCTTGATATGAAAAATTATATGGTCCTGTAATACTCTTTGATTTTCAATCATTTTAAAGTGTGTTTTTGCTCTGGGGGTAATTGTGTTTCTTTAATACACAACTATATTTTTGCCAATTGATGCCCTTTAGTAGAGAATAAAGTGCAGGCAAACACAGTTCAATTTCATGACCCGCTCTATAGATGACACGATATCCCGCTTCCATTCATCCCAAAGTGGCAATATCAAACATGGCTAAAGAAAACAGAACACAATACAGCTTCAAGAAGATAATAGGTCTGTGAAAATACATGACGTCATCTAGTATGAATGGTACTAAGGTCCAGTCTCGATGTATGTTTCAGTTTTCTATAGTCACTTTATTGGTGGAATTTTTTCATTAGATGTTGCTATTATGGAAGCATATAGAGTCACATGTTCATCTTGGTGCAGTTTTGAGTCATAATAAGCAAAATTGGATTTTGGTCTGAGGGATTATCAAAATGATGAGACATATCAGCTATCGGCGTCTAGGTAAGCTTGCTAAAGACTTTTCTTTTGCCCTCATTTTTTAATGAGATGCATTTTCATAGCTTCCATGTGCAGGCCTACATTGATGATTAAATTATTTCATTTTAACTTTTGAATATCCAAGTAATAATATTCACATTTGTATAGTGCTTAATACTGCATTTCTAGGCAGTTTACATTGTAATTGTTATTAACCCTCTCATTGAATTCACTTGCTAATCGGCCCATGATAGTGCGCATGCTTTGGTCCATGGGGAGTATTCCAGATCTAAATAATTCCTTCAGAAAACGATGTGTAGCATCTCTTTTGTTTGGTATAAGATGTAAACTTATCAAATCCCATTATAGTTTTTTGCCACCAGGATTATTGTATTCCACATGTAGGGCTTGTTCAGATTTGACCTGCAGTATTTTACATGTAAAGGGATGGCAACTGCGTGCAACAAAGGGCCTGTACATATTCTACAATCTCTGTGTTATGAGATAGAGAAATGTAACACATATTAGACTTTACGCTATCATAGAAAGCGCTGTGATTTTTGTTATTTCTGAACAAGCCTTTACAGTGCTCACTGTTGAATCACCGGGGAACCATTTATCAGCCTTTTCACACACAGCTAAAATTCATCGTATCTAGAGATGATTAGAATCACTCAACAGTTTTAAACATGTTTATAGACAAAATTTCCCAGTGTGAACATCGTTTATACGATGTTGGGATAGATACGAAGTCGCGATCCATACGCCCCAAAAAGCAGGCTGCAGATACGAAGTTCGTATCTAGAGAGCTTGACATTTTGTGTGTGAAAGGAAATTTGTGTTTAAACGTGTTTAAACTGGATGGAGCGTGCGCTTTGATTGATATGACATGACCTTCAATGCGCAATGGCACTACTGCGCATTTTACGAGCAGTAGTTAATCACGAAACTATTAACGATTGCAACGAAATTTCTGTGCGTGAAAGGCTCGTGATTAGTTTAAACACGTTCGAAACACGTTTATACTAATCATGTCTATAGAATTTTAGCTGTGTGTGAAAAGGCTGCAAGTGAGGCACTATTTTACAACCTGCCAAGTACCCAAGTATATATCTGTACCTGGGTAGAGAGAAGTGATGTAGAGTAAATGCCTTGCTTTAATTTACATATCAAACTATTGTAACACCTTTGAAGTCGATTGTGTAGATCTGAGGAGCGTAGGTTTCCCAAAACCATATACCTGCACTTTGAGTTTCACTTTGGTGATCAAAGGGCTTATGAATTTGTTGTTACCCAGGTCATTGCATTTGATTCTGCACTTAGCATTATTACTATTATGCCAGTCAGATGTGCCAATATGCTGATTGAAATTGTAGTGAAGTTCAGCTAGCGATGTTAACACCCGAGTGTAGGGAAAAAGAAAGAGAGAGAGAGAGAGAGAAGAGAGAGAGAGAGAGAGAGAGAGAGAGAGAGAGAGAGAGAGAGAGAGAGAGAGAGAGAGAAGAGAGAGAGAGAAGAGAGAGAGAGAGAGAAGAAAGAGAGAGAGAGAAAGATGATTATGTGCAGCAAAAGTGCCTTGACTTATTGAACATTAATATGTACTTCTGAGGAAGACATTTTTTTCTTTTAAAGTAATTCAGTGATTAAAGAATTTGTTATACGCCTGGGAAAGAATTTGGATAAATGTAGAGAAAATGCATTGTTTAATAAATGACATTTGTACATCTTGTTCCTTTAAAGTTAAATTTATGCTTGAGATGAGCTTGCTTCCTCAATGATTTAGAAAGGTACCTGTCACCGCAAAATGACGTTGTGATACCAATCCAACCATTTTCAGAAGACAACTGTTCAAGTCTCAGTCAGCTGCACGATCAGCTGCAAGCTTTCATAGAAACAGCTGTTCTGTTCTAGTCATTCTGTTGAGGTGAATGGTCATTTAATACCCATCCTCTACAATTCAGTGTATAGTCGATTCAGACTAGGGAGGGAGGGAGGGAGGGGGGGGGGGGGGATACACAGGTCTAAACAAAAAGTTATACCCTGTTACCCACCAAAAGCAAACGGTTGAACCACCCGGAGGGGGGGGGGGGGGGGGTGACACTGTAGCGTCATAGTGATAACATAAATAATAGTAATCATGCTCAATGTGCACCAGCTTCACTCCCTGAGGAGTATCCCTATCATATGGTTACTGTGAGGGCATATACATGTAGAAATTACTAACACCAAGGCTTTTGTCACCTTACCAGGTTCCCCGGCTTTTCTCTACTTGGTATGGAGTGGCAAATGTAGATCAATGCCTTGTCAAAGGACATTAGTGCCTTGCCAGGGATTGAAGCCACGGCTTTTGCATTTCAAGTCAAGTGCTTTAACCACTAGACACCTGTAATCTCTTAACAAGCCCTACTCACACAGGGAAAGGTAAAGTTGTATCATGTGATACATTTGCAGCTATCAGCGTGTCCACACACAAAACAATTTATCCCGAAACTCTATAACGAAACGTCGTATAAAGAATCATAGTATAAATTTCAAAGTGTCAACACACAAGAAACGTCATATAAATAATCATCGTATAAATTCAAGGATGTCCATAAACAGAAGAAAGGAATCCTAATCCAAATCCAAATTCTATGAAATTCAAATTCAAAGAACATCCCAACACTTCAAGAATTGCTGAAGAGTATGTGCATACATGGTAAACATTAATTGATATTTAATCCCAAATAAATCAAAATCAGTCTATGGTCAGTGCCTCTTACAATGACTGTCCTAGGTTTGTATAATCTAGCTGTCTGCCAATAGTTCCTGATGCCACTACAGAGACACAGCTATCCAAGAATAGAAATTCATCATTCACACAATAAAGATGACTCAGAAGGGTCATGTATAAAGGTCTAATCTTTAGAAATGTTTTCATTCAGAGAAACAATAATAGGTGTCCCTCGCATGGTTATCATTGACACAAAGTACACATATTATTTAGTAAATCTTGTGATACAGAAGAAAAAATATGGATTGATGAGATCTCCCACTTTGTTCTTCCCTCTTGCTCCCCTTCTCTCTCCCCTTCTCTCTCCCCTCTCTCTCTTTACTATCTCTCTCTCTCTCCCTCTCTCTCCCCCTGTCTATCTACGTGTCTATCTGTCTCTCTGTCCTTCTCATTTTCTTGTCATTTTCTCTCCCTCTCCCTCTCCCTCCCCCCGCCCCCCCCCCCCCCCCCCCCCCCCCATGTCTCAAGTAGTCACTGACTGTTACATATATGCAGCAGTTTATCTAGTGAGCTTTGAAAATTTTCATAATAATCTTTCTGGAATATAATATAGGCTGTATATGCTGTTTTTGTTTTGCTTGCATAGCAGAGCAAGACATGGGCATGCCCATTTCCGATATCGTTGTTGTGGTAATAGTTGTTGTCATTGTTGTTGTCGTTGTCAACACTCATGCTGCACCTGCCATAACTTTCTTTAGCTTTGAACTAGGACTACCAAATTCATACCGCATGTGCATCGCTTGAAGGCACAGGTCAAGTTTGAATGTGGGTCAAATCTGACCTAGGTCAAAGGTTAAAAGATCAATGAATTTTCTGTGGAAAGCACTGGTAGTACAACACCTTGATTTTGCAGGTCAAGATTGAAATTGGGTCAAACCTGACTAAGATCAAAGGTCGGAAGGTCAATGAACTTTCTATAGCTTTGATGATGAGGTCAAAGGTTCAAGGCCATCCTAGTTAATGATCTAGTTTCATCAAACCTCATATGTACATGTACCTTATAAGGAACGAACAAACTCAAGGATTTTGGGGTCGTCAGTCAACAGTTATGTCAGATGAGGTATTGCACTTGAGGGATGTTGTGTCAGAGGTGCATATAATTCTTCACTGTGTGCAATTGAATTTCTACTTTTTTGTTGTTGTATGTGTGTGATATTATTAGTATTTTTGTATTTTCACCAACAATGGTTTCCTCACTTAGTTACTAGTAAAATTTGAGATAGTAATAGCCGCCTTCTTAATCAGTGTTCTCTCATGTTCTCTCAGATAAAGTCTATGCAACATTGCCCTGGCAAAACCCAAATTCATATCCTGAAGTGCTGATAGCCCGAAATGGCATAATGATAGAATTTCAAATATTCGAAAGCCGGGTTTAGTTTTAGTAAGCCTTCCAAACTTTTGAGTTTTACAGGTGACATGATTAAAAAAAAGACAACCTAGAGGCAATCTCAATAGCTTTGTGTGTCCCTATTGACCTTGACAAATATCATTAAAACATAATTTCTATAGACATTACAATATATTTTTTAAAGTCTTTGTGATTGTGCTGAGCTTTGATGAATCTAATAAGCATTTATACATTGGACAAGATCAATGTTTTACCTCAGAAGCACTCTTGTATATATATAAGCTTTGGATAAGTGTCTCTATTCATATCAACAAAGTTTGAAACATAAGCATGATTTGAGTCTCTAATCAAATGAGACCCCCAAAATAGAAGAAAAGGGTAAATCAATACATGCATGTACTTTGGGGGAAAAGATTGATTGGAGTGAAAGTTCAAGGCAATTCCAATTTTGATTTTTGAGTGGAGGCTTCATAGCCATTATTGATGTGTGTTTTGGAGGGAATCAAGCAAATTATGTTTCAAATCCTGTCCATTGCTAGCTAGGTCAATCAACTGTTCTTTCACACACAGAATCTTCTATAACAGATCCAGAGCAAGTCAACACAATCAATATCCATTTGTTAACGCTCCAGTTTGCCCTTTTTCTTCCTCAAATGAAATAAATAATGGGAGCTTTTAACTAGTTCCTGATTTATGAAATATAGATTTTTGTTTTCTGAAAAAAATATGATGCTGTTTACATGACCCTAGTCTGATGTCTTTTCTATAAATTTGTATAACCAATTTTAAACCTCATGCAGAATGAATTGGAGTTAAAACAATATAAAAATAAGTTTGTTTTTTGTTACATTGATCCTGAAGCTGAAAATAGGGCCATTGTTGGCTAACATGCGATGGGGGGATATTGCCCCACCCTCTCCACGTATATCTGCAATCATTGGGTTTAATATATGTGAAACCTTCAAATGTGGGAGGGGGGGGGGCAAAGCCCCAAGCACAAAAAAGGGGGAAAGGGGCATTGTTTTGTGGGGAATGGGGGAGGGGGGAATAAAGGTCTGTGCAAGGCTCCCTGTTACCCTTCCAATGCCAATGATGTACATGTACCGGGTAGGCTTATATTTGTTGTTATTGATGAGTTGAGTTATATAGACCATAACAAGCAGGATACACAACTCATTGATTTTCTGGAATGTGATGCTTGATGTACACAAACACTAATATATTAACTGTCAAAAGATGATTGGCTTACAATGAACTGTTGACCTAAACTAAAATTATCATTACTTTTGCAAAATGTTTTTCTTTTCCAAAAGCGTGATAGACAATAATTATTGCAGTATTACTTTTCATGAAAGATATTCATATCTTTGTATATTCAAAATTTCAAATCAAGTTCACCTTGACATTAAGTTGAGGTGAATAAAAGTATAAAGATAATCAGAGGATAAGGTTAGCAAAGTTTGAATGTTTGAAATTTATCTCTAATTCACTATCAATTGGCACCTCTATCTAATTCCTTTGTGAGTAACTTGCGGGAAATCACCAGAATATCCCATTCTTGAAACAAAATGAATGCATAATGACAATAAAAAGGTGCTATTGCTGTTAAAACAATGTATAAGATCCTGCAATTAGAAGATTCATCCAGTATAAGCACAGTACAAAGTGTGCGTTGTTCTTTCTTGTACCATGCAGCCAACACATGCACTGGATGGAAGTGTGTTACCCTCCTGAAAACTGCCAGTGATTATAGGCTTTAATGAGGGATCTGGGATATTGATTTATGGCCCCCATTCATTAAAACTAAAAATAGATTTTTATTAAGAGATCATACATGTTAACATATTTCTTTTTTGTCAATTAGGAGGTTGTACAACCTTTTAATTTTGCTCCCCCTTTTTCTCTCTCTCTCTCTCTCTGTCTCTCTGGCTCTCTGTCTCTCTGGTTTTCTCTCTCTCTCTCTCTTTCTCTCTCTCTCTCTCTCTCTCTCTCTCTCTCTCTCTCTCTCTCTCTATTCCACCTTGGGATTTCAATGAAGCATGGAAATTAATTTATCCAATTGTCTGGATGCCCGAGGCTAGGCTCACAATGTGAGAAAAGCGATTCTCTTTTCTCACCTTAAAAAATGAGAAAATGAATCACACGAATTCAATCTTCCCCACCTTACTGATGAATTTTCATATATCTTTAGCAACATCAGGTTAGAGTCATGATTTGGGTCTGGGCCCTGTTGTGATCGATAAATGTCACAATTCTATAATCAATTTGCCAACAACTAATAAATTCAGTTATTTCAAAAGCTTATAATAGTTATTGTAGCTTGTTAATATTTAAAACAGGTTTTGTGAAACAGTATCTGATTCATGTATTTAAACAAAAAAATGTTTGTGCAATTTTTTATTTCATCTATATAATATGATTGCAACCGCTAAAAGGGGAAGTCCACCCCAATATTGAGTTGATTTTGATAGAAGCAGGAAGATGAGAGGAACAAGTCAGTGAGTGCTTTTGAGCAAGTTCTGATTAAAAATTAAAAAGTTATGCATTTTTGAAGTTGCGGTCATTCAATCAAACACGAATTGGGTCTGAGGTTAGAGGTCATGAAATTGTATAGTTTGGCTAGACATTGATCTACATTTGCCACACTCAACCCAGGTGTTGTAAATGGGTACCTGGCAGGAATTAATTCCTTGAAATGCTAGAGCGCTGTAATGACCGCCTTGCTAAAGTCAGGGTAATAATCGGGGCAGCACTAGGAGCGTCACAATGTGACGGACATGTGCACTGTTTAAGACGCCACCATTATTATTATTATTATATATTCTAGCCTTATATCAACTTTTCAATTTAGTCAGAAGCATTTTAGAGATGTAGTCTGCATATGTGCCTGAATACATGAGGCATACATGTATACACTGTAAGGGTCTCAAGCCATTATATTTTATTCCTAATGCATCAAGTTATTAAGCCACATAAACACTGTGTAGATGTAATAAGTTCATGTTCATTTTATTCAATACTTTCATTAAAACTATACAAAGGAAAACAAACATATAAAAGTTGAAATATAATACATGTATCAATATATAACATGAGAATAACACAAGTGGAGAAGACATGAGGAACAAGGGGAAAACATTCTAAACATGTACATTAATGAAAGTATTTGGAGACTAGACAGGAAGGCCGGGCCTTATGTAAAAGTCTGTCTCCAGTAATTGTATAAAAAACTAAGTACATTATTTAAATGTTTTATTTGTTATAAAAGGAAGAAAAAAGGAAATAATTTGCATTCACACATACACTCTCTCCCATACACACCAACACACACTTTTCAGTCTGATAAACAATAAGCTAGGATGTAATCATAAGCCTGAAGATGGGGACCCTCTCTTTTTAAAAGGGCTTGGTGTTAATTATCAATCAAGAGTAGTAGAGTCATTCACACTCAGAGTTGGTGAGAATTAAAAATCAATTTTAAACCGACAGCAGACTTTGTAATTATGAATACTTGTGTCAAATTTAAATCATGATTCAAATGGCAATGATAGCATTTTTCAATATTTTTCAAATCAATATTTTTTCACTTGCCATAACTTGAGGTGAGGACCCTCCACTCTTTGTAGTTATTACGCTAACCTTAAAGATGAAGTTGAGTTCTGGTCATGCGATTGCATTGTGAAAGAAACGGTGTGGAATCGACCAGAAAAGGTTGATCATCTAGCATAAAAGAATTTGTGTGTATTGCAAGGTTCTGGAATCATCAAAATGATAAGAAATTGGCCAAGTCTTGGTAAAGTTACAAACACTGTACACAGAAAGATGTATATGGGACTACACGAACACGTGGCGTAAAAAACCTACCCCCCGAGTTTTACGATGTACATGACATATTTAGAATATGAAGGCATTTGAAGAGCCATGCTTTTCAGGGAACATGTCTTATCTGATGTTCTTCCACACTTGCATAATAAGAATGAAAACGCTCACAAATTATTTTTCACCTCTTCCCAGAACTCAACCTTCTCTTTAAGATCATTGAGATCTGCCGTAGATTGTAAATTTGAGTTAACTTCAAGATTTGTAACCATGAGTGCATCCCTATAACTTCAAAGTTTAAAACTACAAAGTTAACAGATTGTTGTGTGAGCCAGTGGCGGATCCAGGGGGAAGGCCCAGACCCCCTGGGAAAAAACATGTAAAAAAACATTAATTTTACCTTTTTTTGGAGATGCCCCCCCCCCCCAATTTTTTTTTTTACCCGGTAGTGCTCACTACCCCCCCCCCCCCAACTGAACGAATTATCAGCCGGCTGTTTCGCCGCTAAATATTTTCTCACGAATTGGGCCTCCGCCCCTGGTGTGAGCCTCACAGTATGATGTCCTTTGCAGGTGGGAGGATATATTTCCTATCAATTAGCAGCATTTGTAATGGGTACTTTACTAATTACTACCGTGTCTCAGTATAGCGCATGATTATGAATGCATGCTAACAAGGATGCCTTATGCAAGGGTCACTCTGTGGCCTGGACCCACCCTCCTCAGGTCATCACCTTTCTTCACCTGAGCCAATTATTTGTAACCTCAGGGTTTCACCATCACTTCATGTGCTTTACAAAAAACAAAGGCAAAGCATCACTCTTATCAGCAAATGTGTTAGTCCAGGCTTCACCCTTTGAATTATTTGCATAGGTGATGCTTCACTTTTGTCAGTTTTACATAGGTGAGGCTTCACTTGTGTCAGTTTTCCATAGGTGAGGCTTCACTTTTGTAAGTTTTCGGCCGGTCTGAAGCTTCACCACTGTTTCACCATACTTCGACTCGAGCGCACGGCACTGCTGTGGCGTAATACCTTTGTGGAATACGTCAACATTGAAATCTCGCGAAAATATAGGCTAAGTTTTATGCACAGATTTCGTTAATAATCAATCGTAAAACAGGGTCGGAGTAGTACCGTCTCAAAATGATCGGAAAACTCTGAACTTTCTATTTTTTTTCAACTCACCTCGCAAAAACTTGGGGCCAAAACTTGGCACGATCTGCGCTGCGCATGCTGGGTACAATACCGACAGCTCGTAGGCTACTAGTCTCGTTTCCAGACTTGAGGCTGGCCTTTCAGGCACGTATACTGCGAATACTCACGCAACTAGTTATGTGTAGGAGACTAGTAGACTACTCGAAAACGATCTCGTGAAATCTCGAAATCAGTTTCGCTGGAGAAAAGTTTGACGACCTCAGGACGATCACTCTGCGAGTGCGTGAGTGACCGGAATAAAAATTAAATAGTTGTTTTGAAACGCACGATTTCGACATGATTTCGACATATTTTCGACGCGACCGGTAGTGGCTTCGATGTCACATCACCTGAACAAACAAGGCGACCGATTGGATTCGATGTCACATCACCAGAAAAAACAAATTACTCGTCAAAGCTTCACACATTTCATCAATTTGTATAGTAAAGCTTCACCCAATGAAGAAAAACGAACGTTATAGGACTTCACTACAACAACAAATAGGTCAGGGTCAGGCTTAGGCGTCGAGTCGATGTCGATATTTGGCGACCTCTGAGGAGGGTGGGTCCAGGCCACAGAGTGACCCTTGCATTAATTGATAGACAAATTGAAAAGAAAGCTGCACCTCTGTGATACAGTAGAGAACAGGGAATAATAATACACTGATTCTAAAGCAAAGATACAACAAGACTTTAAAAATATTATCACCTACAAAGAGCCAGAAAGGCATTAAAGGGATCCGGTAACTTTGTCTTAGATCCTTTAGAAATAATCCTTGATTTAGCTCAAGCTGCAATGATAATTATAAACCTTTAGGTCAGTCAGGAACTACATGACTTTTACAAATTGTGAAAACCGTTCGCCAAAAGGTTTTCATAACACTACAGTCTATTGGGGATAATGAGTATGGTAAAACCGGTCACTCAAAGATTTTTACTTTTTTGAGGCACTTCTTGATCATTTTGAAGCACAATTTTTTAAGGGCTTCAATATTACACCATATCACAGACACTGGTAACATGTAGGACTGTGTATCTCAGATTTAACATTGTTAAACGATCCCTTTAAAGTGTGTATTTAAAAAAAAAAAATTACCCTGTTGACTCCTGAATTCTCTCCTTCCCATATGCTTAATACAAGGAGCACCGGTACCAGGAATCAAAGGGTTAACTGATTGAGGAGGTGTAATGGCCCAGTGGTAGAGCAGGATGTTTTTTGTATACATTATGTAGATTTCAATATGGAATAAATAATTTGTATGCATGCAGCTATATACAGTCAATATTTCCAGAGGAGACTTTTATTTTGTCTTCTGATCAAATTCTAATAAGACATTGATTTTGCTTGCTTGTCTGCATCTTGCCATTGCTTCATTGCAAGACTGTACTCTGAGAAGATTGACAATAAATGGAAATGTCACAATCGGTTTAGTTTTCACACATCTAGGGCTTTTACTATTGTTCCCCACCCATCCTATTTCACGTCTGAGGACTGAGATTTGCTAAGTTTCACAGGGAAGAGATTTATTCTTTTAGAAAAGCTATAGACGGTTATTTTTTCTACTCTAATTCAATCCCAATAATTGTTATCGTTATCATTATAGTTGAGATATATTGCTTGATGTGAAATGATTTGTTTTACTATTTTAGATCCCCAATCATGGAGGGTCTTTAAATTGTCTAGTGATATTAAGAGCATTATGGTGATTAGACATTATTTGATCTGAAATTAGTTGCTTAGTGGAAATGTATATTATTATCATGCTTGCTGCAAAATGATCATCTTCTCTTTCTTTCTTTTTTTTTTTTTTTTTTTTTTTTTTTTGGGGGGGGGGGTCATTTTCTCTGACCCTTCTTTCTTTTTCTTTTCATTTCTGTCTGTCTGTATGTCTCTCCCTTTTTCTCTTTCTCTCTCTATGTCTGTGTGTTTCTCTCTCTTTCTCTTTCTCTCTTTCTCTCCCACATTGTACCTCCTTTTTCTCTTTCGTCCCATGCACTCTCTTTCGCTCTTTGTTAATTGTATCCAACTTCTCATATCTCTTGAATTACAGTCTTTGTACATTCATATCAGTGTGTATCCTTCTCTACCCCTCTCTGTCTCTCTTTCCATCCATCTCTCTCTCTCTCCCCTTTTCTCTATCTCTCTGTTTCTTCCTCTGTTCTTCTCTCTTTCTGTCTTTCTCTCTCTGTTTTTCCCTCGCTTCCTCCTTCTCTCCCTTCCTCCTTCTCTCCCTTCCTCCTTCTCTCCTTCCTTCTCTCCCTCCCTCCTTCTCCATCTCTATTTGACATAATAAATCTCCCCCAGTATCTATGTATGATTTTCATATACACATAATGTATATTTTCTGATTACATTAATGAATGCCATGCTAGCGACATACCATCACATTCAATTGATTTATGTGGCATTGTAATGACATGTGCTGATTGCTTATTTCAGCTTTTGACATTTAGCTCTTTACATATAAATTGATTTTAGTGAGACAATCATCTGTCAGAGTCCCATGCATGAATTTTTTGATATTTGCTCATTGTTCAAGGGATTTTTTTTCAGAAAGATTGAATAATCTGCTGTTGTTCGAAATCAGTTTTCTTTTAGGACCTTTCTCTCCTCTAGTATCTCTTGCTCTCTCATTTTCTTTCCCTCTCTCTACCCCATCTTTCTCCCATGTCTTTCTCTTTCATCTCTATCTACCCCCTCTCTCCTCCCCCATTTCTTCCCCCTCCCCCCTCTTCTCTCTTCAATCTCTTTCTCTCCTCACTCTCTCTCTCTCTCTCTCTTTCTTTCTCCTTCTTGAATATCTTTTTTCTCAATCTACTGCCCCTGTTTTTCTCTGTTTCATTCAATTTGAAAAAAAAAAATCATAAATGCTTTCTTTGTATTAAATGATCCCCATGGCATTGTGAATGTGGTAGTTTTCTCCCCACATGAAAAATTATAGAAAAAAATTGTATGATATAATTGTGTTGTAAAAACCATCTGTTGTAAAAGTCAAGCTCGAGTGCACGCTTAAAAGCCTGCCCAACATTCGTTCATTCATTGATTAGAAGGTTGCACAGGCTCGACAAACATATAGCTCTCTCTCTCTCTCTGCTTTTTGCTGTTTTGGTTGTTGTCCATGCTTGAATCTAACGAACCTTTTAACCGGGGACACGACCCCTGGCTTCTCATGCTGGCGAGGCTTATTCAGCAAACAGTGACAATATTGCTCTACCAGACGTGCAGAGAAGATGTGCTAGTTTAGCCCTTGTCACTGTCGTCTTTGCTCGTCCATGGACCGGCACTAGAAGAGGGAGAGCTCCTGTGAAATTGATCTCTGTCTGTGCGGTTGTCATGAGCTCCCTAAGTGACCTAAAGTGCTTCTGCGAAAACTGTAACAGCCCCTAGATCTAGACTATTATATTGAGCGATAAACCAGATTTTTTAGTGCACTTTTAGGCTTTTTGAAAATCGTTTTCTCATCCGCCCCACCATATTTTTTGTGAGCTCATTGGACTAAAGGGGAGTTTCCTATGAAAGCAGTCTTGGCTTTGAATGAATAGTACTTTATTTGGAAGGAGATTATCAAGTTTTGTGTGCATTTATTTATAAAAGGATTAATTTGAAGACCTATTGGAATAATGTACACATACTTTAGAGGTAAGTTCATCGTAGAATAATTTGATTTCTTTATGTTCAGATTTCTTCATAGTTATAATGTAAATTATATAGATGTCCAATGCTCAAATGCTAGTTTATTTTATGAATATGTTACATTTGTGCAAGTTTTATTTATACAACAACATTTATGATTGATCAAATGTTGAATTGGACATTCACTTTTTTAAAATAAAGTTTCTTATAGGGCGCTTTACCAGTTACAGTGTAACCGATCAAAGCGCTTATACTATATTAGTACCTTGGTCACTAAGTTCTGTTAGAATCCTTCAGGCACCTCTATCATTGATGACAACATCAATGTAACAAGAACGGTGTAGCACTTGGCTCTCTATAAGTCAGTTGGCTAAATCAACCTAAATCAAACTGAGTACCGGTACACAATTGTGATTATAATTAGCCACTAGTATTAGATAATAATGGTTATGTCTGATCCACGTAAATCCATGTAAATTCTGTTATAGTGTATAGTTTATGAAAATCCCTGTAAACTAGCCATGAACGAAACCGAACGGACCTGATGCATTTCGGTATAAATATGGGAAAAATGACAATTAATATGATTAAGAGTTTAATTGTTTCATCGATGAAAACAGATTGCTATTATGCCTGTTAGATACCCTTTTCAAGTTCATAATTCATTCTCTATGTACCAGTATATTAATTTAAAATTTGAAGAAAAAGCCAGTTGAAGAGGTAATCCAACATAAGAAACAATGATATAGGGTCAGAGTTCGGTTGGGTTTAAAGGCCCACTGCACTACTGGTAGCTACTTGCGCCCTCTATATAACAAACAATGCCTAATCGGTGACCATTGGTCCCCCATGATCCTCTTTTTTTATGTTAAGTGAAAGCTGAGTTGATGAGATAACCACCTGTCCAGTGACCTTGTAGAGCGGTTTAATCCCTCCTGTAAACTACGGCAGATAAGCTTTAAGCTAAGGGTTACGATTAGTTTTATTGTCTTTAGGAAATGGAATTTAGATAGTACAATATTTACCACAGATTAATTTTCACCTTAACTTTTGTATAGATTTAATAGGGAGACACTTGGTTATGTTAAACATGGTTACATTACTGAATTGTCATCATGTAATGTACTTTTAATCCTTTATTATAGCCTGAAGATATAGGCCCGTATTCTGAAGTCTTGTCTAACTTAGCCACGACTAAAGTTAAACAACTGTTTAGTTAGACAAGACTTAAACAGGACTTAGACGCGAGGTCGTGTCTAAGTCCTGTTTAACTAAATTTCGTATTCTGAAGTCGTGTCTAAGTCTCGTCTAACTAAACAACTGTTTAAGTCCTGTCTAAGTGGTGTTTAACTAAACAACTGTTTAAGTTCTGCGCAAGTCTTGTTTAACTTTCAGTCACGACTTCTGCGCATGCCCAGTAGGCGTTAATTCCGACGATAGACCAAATGCGCATGCGTGCGCGCACCGGATAAATAAATTAACGCGCACAGCTAGCTGTGCGCGTGCCTAGCTGTGCGCGTGCTGGTACCATGGTGATGTGATCGTGACGTAATGACTAGACTGCATGCATGTATTGCACTGTGACGTGACGTACGTGTACTATACGTACACTGTACACAAACGCACTAATAATATCACTTATCAGTACCTCTGTGCTCGGAAGAACCAGCAAAGAAACTTCTCCAACAGAATGGTAAGTTTATTATAGATTATGGAATTTCCAAGATGTCACCATTAGATAAGAATAGTTAATATTATCGAGAAAAAAAATCAGGCTACACGAGAAAAAATCCTGCAAAATGTATTTGAAATTTTATAGGATGCACGTACCATCGTTCTCCCTGCAAGTTCGGGGTCAGCAAGTAGAGTGTACCGTAGACGTTGAAAAGCAGCAGAATCGCGCCCTTAAACAGGACTTAAACAACCCCTCGCAGTTGTCTAAAGTTAAACAGGACTTAGACAGGACTTCGTGTTTAACTTTATTTAAACACGACTTCAGAATACGAAAAAAGTTAGACACGACTTCGAGTCTAAAGTTAGACGGGACTTAGACAGGACTTAGACAACTGTTTAGTTAAACAGGAGTTAGACACGACTTCAGAATACGGGCCATAGTGGGTAGCAGTGAAGATAGCACGGGAGGCGTGTGCGTGGTGCTAGTCCATACAGCCACACCATTAATGTACAATCATGTCATCCCTTAGTTTTCATTATTAGTATAAATTTTGATTGATGGGTGTTCTAACA